GAAGCAGCTGATGTGCTGGGCTGTTTTTTGTCTCCCCTTCTAAGGTTTTTCGGACTATCTCCTCTGGCCATGATATTTAATTTTTTAAATTAAATATAATAGCTGAATTTTCGATTACGTTTCAATAAATAAAGAGTGATCTACTCCTTAAAGTATTTGCGGTGAAAATTTTCAAATGTTAAATAAATCAAAAAAGTAAATGTAAATTTTAGCCATGTAGGTTTAAAAACAATATTTCAGCTTAAATTTTGAATATTTTTATTAAAGAGGAATATTATTATAAGATTTTAAAATGTTATTCTTAAACATTTTTATATATATATTTTAATTATTTTACCAATTAAGTGTAATTATTCCAGCTCCTTACCCTAAATGAAAAGATTGAAAATTATTATTGTTTAATTAGGCTAAGGGTAGGAAAGTTTTGATAAATTGCTAAAACAGTTCTCTCTTTTTAGAATTACAAAAGCTAAGAATTTTAATCCATTTATTTTTTTATTTAATACACCAACAAAGAAACATAAAACAAGTAGATCAGTCCTAAATCCTATATTAAATTGTACTATTTGTTTTAAAAAAAATGCTTAAACCATTTTATTTTATAAATTTTAAATGAATCTAATTACCTATGAAAAAGGTTTATGAATTAAAATCATTAAATATATTTGGCGCGGGGCTAGCAAAGAAAATAATTGATGAGAAAATCGTTTCAGTTTTATGAATAATTGTATTATGATTCATTAAATAATAATTATAGTATCTTTGTAAAAAATTATAATGGTTGTTCAGTATTGAATTTGTGTCGAAAGTCTTAATGAGTATATTATCGTAAATATTATATATTAAGAAAAATTTCATGGATGTTTAAATAAGAATATCTTATGAAATATTCTTCTTATGAATAAAATCAAGGATATGAAAAATCTATTTATCATATTTATTGATTATATTTAGTTACTCCTAGTGCATATCATTTAAATAAAATAGATAATGTTTTAAAATATTAAATGTTAATATTTAAAAATTAATCAGATTTAAGATCTAGTAAAAGAGTAAGTTGAATCTCTTAATTAGATATATAGTACTATTATTCTTTGGCATTTTTTAATAGTATATTATGAGAGCATTTCAATTTTTAATGTCACCTTTTAAATTTCTTAAAGTGAATGATCACATCAATCGTTTTTATACGAAAACGTTCTTAATTCTTATAAAAATTCACCACTTTCCAAACCATTAACTGCTATTAAAAGTAGTCCCACTAATTGTAATTTTTTTTCTTTGGGTCTATATTATATGTTGATAGAGCAGAAAAATAGATTTGAGTGTATATTTTCATATGCAACTTAATTTGAATAAATCTAAAAAAACTATTAATTGCTATTTTGAGTAAAAAATTTTGAAAATCAAAAGAATTAAAGAATACTTTAATTACAATAAATCAGGAGGTGTAATTTACAACTTATCAAAAAAAAACAATAATATTAGATTTTTTATTTAAGTTTAATAAGGAGTATTGGAAGATATAACAAATAAAAATTAATAAATACATTAATCCTAATGAATAATTCAGTCCAAAATTTGAGTTTGATTAATTCAAATTTAAATTACAACCTTAATAAAAAAACAATCTCTTTATAGCAATTATAGAAGAGATTTTTGACACAATAAAATATAGATTAATTAAAGAATAGATTGATAGATATTTGTGAATGAATATCTAATTTATAGTAGAGTTTAAGCATATGAACGGAGATCATATTTTCTCTAAAATAAATGGTAAAATCATTACTATTTAAGCAGAGTTCAAAAAATAAATGAGAAATTCACGAATTTTTAATTTTAACTATAATTGAATCCAATAATTTTGAGTACATTTATATGTCTCCAAATGCATCATGAATCCTTCTCATCAATGAGCTTAGTTAAAAAACACAAGTTGATTACCACAATTCTTGGAAAATCGAATAAAATATTCTCAGATTGAATAGCTCTATCTTCATTATAGTTCTATTAATTACTTATGCTTAGAACATCATAATCTTATTTCTCGTTTAAGACTCCATAGATATATAAAATAAGCAGAATAAATGGATGGGGTTTATAACAAAAACTTAAGAATGTAGAACCAAATTGTTTTATATAAAATTTCATTTTTGAGATTCAATGGAATTATCCTTGGTCATACAGTAGATATAGTTTTATTAGAGGTGCTTCCTAATTACTACGAGAATATACGGTAGAGACCAGTCGGTTTTCCGTTCCACCTGAATTCGTCCTTCACTCATTGTTTTCATATACGGTAATGAATTTGTACCAGAATTTGGCATTTTATTTATTAATTGTGGTATTAAACCTTTAACCATACAAGCAGCATTATATAGTTAGGGATTATCAATTATCCAAAAATTCTGAAGGCGATATCCTATCAGTTGTATAAGGTTTGGTGCACCATCAGTCGAATAACCCACGACCAAGAAAGCCATCGCATTCACTATAATTTAACATAAATAAAAATCATTATGATATATAAAATCTAAAACTATTTTCTAATTCAAGTAGTTTTTTATGAATATCGTAATGTACTAAAAGAGAAAATCTCTGAAGTCATCTTCTTGAAGAATATTTGTAATATTAGTCTAATTGATTTTAGGATGATATTTAAAAATTTCAAGAATGATAATAATAAATTCTCATTAAGCATTATTATTTCAGAATGTTTTTAAAAATATGATAAACTTGAAACTTTTTTTAATTAACTATTGAAAGTTAATATAATTTTTGTATTCAATGCACTGAATTTAATTCAATTTAAAAAATCCTTCGTTTTGGTAAATATTTGTTTTAAAGTATCTTATAACATATATTATACAAGAAAATAAATATTTTATAGATAAAGCAAACATTTAATTAGTGGAATTAATTAATTGACTTTTAAGGTTTAGCAATATGAATAAATTTGTTAAATGAATATTACCAATAAGTATTTAAAATTATGCTGATGGAGGTTATTTGGTGTACTTTTAAGCAAGCTAAATAAGTAAGATTTCAAATTGAAATAAAACTTAGTAATTAAAAAACTTAATTTATTTTTGTACTTTAAAAAATATGTTCATGTCATAAGTATTAAACTGATTATAAAATTAAATGTTGAATTTATTATCCCAATTATGGATTGATGATTGTACACATGCGTAAGAATTTAATTGCCTATTCATATTGACCCATTTTAAATAAGCATAAACCTTTAAATAATTAATTTAAATATACCTTTGTTATATAAAGAATCGAAAGATTGCGGATTGACTGTCAATGCTTTTTCAAACCATTCAATTGCCTATTCATATTGATCCATTTTAAATAAGCATTTGCCTTTAAATAATTAATTTAAATATACCTTTGTTATTTAAAGAATCGAAAGATTACGGATTGACTGCCAATACTTTTTCAAACCATTCAATTGCCTATTCATATTGACCCATTTTAAATAAGCATAAACCTTTAAATAATTAATTTAAATATACCTTTGCTATATAAAAAATCTATAGATTTCGGATTGTTTGCCAATATTTTGTCATTACATTCAATTGCCTAATCATATTAACCCATAATCATTAAGCATAAACCTTTAAATAATTAATTTAAATATACCTTTGTTATATAAAGAATCGAAAGATTGCGGATTGACTGCCAATACTTTGTCAAAATATTCAATTGCCTATTCATATTGATTCATATTCAATAAGCACAAACCTTTAAATAATTAATTTAAATATACCTTTCTTATATAAAGAATCGAAAGATTGCGGATTGACTGCCAATGCTTTGTCAAAATATTCAATTGCCTATTCATTTTGATCCATATCCAATAAGCATAAACCTTTAAATAATTAATTTAAATATACCTTTGTTATTTAAAGAATTGATAGATTTCGGATTGACTGCCAATGCTTTGTCAAAATATTCAATTGCCTATTCATTTTGATCCATATTCAATAAGCATAAACCTTTAAATAATTAATTTAAATATACCTTTGTTAT